GCCTCTGCCTCTCTAGTGCTGGGATTAAAGGCGTGTGCCACCAATGCCCAGCAAAACATATTTTTAAAGTCACTTGTTCGTTTAAAAAATATCCTGCACTTTCAGAGGACATGGCATCATTGTAATCACAGCATAGTCGAGATGATGTTTGGGAATCTTCACACTTGTTTCCAACTCTAGGAATTCGTAGAGTCCTGAAGTACCAGTCTACCTTGTCCTAAACTGTCCTCAGTCCTGACCAACCTGCAGGGCGCAAAGTTCACAAACAAGGAAGTGGATATTCTTGTGCAGGTATCTGGAACGAGATTTCTAAATACAAGGGCAGTAAACAAACCTCATGGTTCTACCTTCAGAACACATCCATAGCTGGACCACTTGGTACCACACAGGCGCTAGCTACCATGCACCACCTCCAGGATCGTGGCAATCATCTCCTGCCAGCCTCCCACTTCTCCCCTTAGCCTGCTCTGTCCCTTCCCAACACAGCAGTCAAGCGGCTGAAACACCGCGTCATGGGCTCAATCATTTATGCCGGTCTCCACCCAACCAGGAAAAGAACCCATTCTAGACATCTCAATCAGGGAACGCACTGCGGGATTTGGTTACAAAGATTCCTAATTGCTAGAAAAGAAACCTGTAGCAAAATGAGCCAGGAGCCTGGCTTGAAGAAGGGCGGGAGTAGGGGATGGTGTTGGGGGTGGGGTAGGAGGAGGGTGTCTTTCTTCCTCCCATGCGCAGCCTCCTACCAGTACTTCTTATTGGCAGAACTTGCTAGGATGCCATCAGGCTAAGAAGTCTGGGAAGTGTAGTTTTCAGGGTTCTGGCCCCCGAGTCAGGGGGAAATTATAGAAGAGGAGCAAGGGACAGCTTCAGCAGCATGTCGCAGTAATCCAAGTTCTTACTTACCACGGCTTCTGAGAAAGGCTCCTGCCACCCAACACACAGCACGCATACCTCACACTCCAGTGCACATATGCACACCATACATCATGCACATATCTTCTCATCTGCCTCCCTACCGCCATACCGCATCTGTCCCAGAGTGGACTGCCTGCAACCACACTGGCTTCTTGGCCCCTCTCCTTAGTGATTGTTTCCTCTACGAGGTCTACTCTTCTCCCCAGACATCTGCAGGGCTCGGTTCTGCTAGGTCCTTACTAAAGACAGTTTTCAAGGTCACTCAACTACAACCAATTCCAGCTCTTGGTCCTTTGTGGTGCTTTATTTTAGCATAAATTTATCCCTTTCCAACATGCTATACATTCTGTATATAGCTGTATTGTATCAATGTATCATTCTCTGTAGCACATTTTGTATAGCTATCACATATGAGTATTAGGTAAATATGTGTATCTAGATATCTATACTCTCTTACCAAAATATAAGCTCCAGAGGAACCAGACTTTTGTCTTTTTGCCTACTTCTATATCCTTGATGGCTGCATATTTGCTTTTTTTTTTTTTTTTAAGAAAATTTGGTTTTGGTTCAGGGTTTCAGAAGTTTATAGTGATCCAGAAGTAAGGTTTCATATAATTAATACCTTATTAAGATGTCAGAAGTTATGTTTCCATCACAATAAAACTACCTACCTACTGAATGAACACAATTATGGTAGCCATTAATAGAAATACCTCTTGTGTGCTTATTTAAAAAGCTAGCCACCCTTAAGAGCATTCGGGGCAGGTGTCAGAATAACAACTGTGTGTGTGTGTGTGTGTGTGTGTGTGTAAGAAAGACAAGCCAATACTCTTCAACCTTCTCCTCTGGCCAGATTCCCTAAACTTACCACGGAAGACAATTCAGAGGTAAAATGTGTGCTTAGCATGTATTAAACCTTGGATTCAATCCCAACACCAAAAGAAAGAACAAACACACTAAGACTTTTACTCCAAATATATTAATTCCATCCTATATTAGTTCATCCTAGTAAAGTCACACTACACTTTAACTACCTCTTGCATATCTGTCTTCACTTAAACTGTAAGATCCACAAGATGCCAAAAGGCCTGGTTACACAAAAGGCTTTGGGTTACACAATGCCTCAAGCACCTAGGATACTGACGAGTGTGTGTGTGTGTGTGTGTGTCTGTGTGTGTGTGTGTGTGTGTGTAGGGGGTGGGAAGGTGGATCACACCCTGCTTGTTGGAAGAATGTGGTGATATTTTGTTTATGATATAATAAATAAAACTTGCCTGAATATCAGATTGCAAAGCTACTAGCCACACTAGCTAGCCACAGAGGCCAGACAGTGATGGCATACAACATTAATACCAGCACTTGGGAGACAGAGACAGATGGATCTCTGTTAGTTCAAGGCTTCCCTGAGCTACATGAAATTGATGCAGTCTAAAAGAGAAACAGCTCACACAAAGGTAATCTCAGCACTTGGATTCCCACGCCTTTAATTCCAGCACTAGAGAGGAATATAAGGCAGAAGGAGTCTGAGGACCAGTGCAGTCAAAAGAAGTCTGAGGTTTGGTGGATTGCCCCATCAGTCTGAGCACTGGTAGAGATGAGAACTCTCTAGTGGCTGGCTGCTTTGCTTCTCTGATCTTCAGCTTTAACCCCAATATCTGCCTCTGGGTTCTTATGATTTGTGCTACAGCAGAACGCTCCCATCAAAGAGTAAAGTACTTAAGGTCTCTTGACATCACTCCTTCTTCTGCTATACTGGGAAGGCAGAAAGGTGAACATCTGTAAGAAGCACTCATGGAGGTAGGAAGCAGTCACACAGTGACACAAAGGAGTCAGGTGAGCAGCAAGAAAGCAGACAAAAGCATCGTGGCTTCAAAGGGTGCTTGCATCTTTTTATTAGAAGTATTCATATTGCCCACACACAACCCACTGTTGATTTAATGGAGTATAAGAGAGTAACAAACCTTGAAGAATTACTAAGCCATGAAGTCAGAACTAATATCATGATAAGCATCGAGTCTCCATAGATAACGGATTTCGGTGTCATTCTTACTGAGTGTGGAGAGTGGGTGTTCAAGCTACAAAAGTTCATTAACAAATGTGGTTTTAAGACTTAATTACCATATTTAAGAGGGAAGAGTCACCCTTTGCATGCACACTCGTGGGTGGTGGAAACACAATGTCTAACTATCAGCCCTCTTGGTTTTTCTTTTAGTTTCCTTAGATCAGCACGGAGACCTGCTGTCCTTTCTAAAGAGAGACTGGATAGATCGTACTCCTAAAATAGACCTGTATATTTGGTAATTTACTGAGGAGCTGGCAGAATGCTTACCGCAAACACGTGCTTAAGCACCAAATGTATCACAAATAGGATTGGCGTGGCTTATAACCTCACGAGTTAGAGGCACACAGAAACATCATATATCATCCTTACCCGAGTGGGAGTGCTCCCTGCCAACCTTCCTAGTGCCAGAGCACTCCACCACATAGAAGCGGCTACAGTAGGAGGGCCTCCTCAGCTCACCAGTCTCTGGAATGAGCATACTGTTTTGCTTGCAGAGGTCTGCCAGGACCACCCATGTTGGCTGTACCTTCCCTCTCTGCTTCATTAGAAATTCAATTTGACCAATGACAATTCCAGGCACATTATAAGCAACAGGAATTTGGTTCATTGGAAACCCACTTCTTTATTCCTTTCTCACCACATAATTTTGCAAAATAACTCCCAGCCCGGAAAATGACTTCAGCCTACTGCCTGAAGTGTACATTTATTTATTTGTTCACCGGTGCAGGGGGAAAACTGTGCTAAATCAAGGGAGATGCATGCACATGGTCCTGGAGGGATAATTTTAGAGCTAGTTTCAAAGCAGATTCTAATTCAAAAATGCCCCGTTACTTAGACCCATGTAAAGATGTCACCAGCTTCACAAAATGTCATCAAATAATTTGAGATTTGCTAGAGGTAGGAGTGATTGCAGCTGCAGTAGCTCCCTTTCTGAGAGAAGCAGGAGGAAGAGGGTTGCTTTATTAGGAGTAGCTTGTGAGAGTGCAATAAAAGCAGATGTGAAAACCAGGTCTATGAACTGCAAATTCGACAAGGCTGCAGGCCATTCTCATTGCAGGCCGGGCACCTGAGGGCTCGATAGGACTCCTTGAATCTGTTAGCCAGCATTGAGAACTTGCTGCCATGGCACAGAGAACAGGTGGCGATGCCGGACCCCTGGCAGTGGAGACAGTTGTCCTCAGGGACCAACCCATCCTGCAAGAGACAAGTCAGGCTTCAGTTAGACCACTGGTTTAAGCCCACTGCTTTCACAGAGATCAAAACAGTGCTAGGTCTTGGCAAAGACTGAAACTGAATTGGAGAAAATGTTTCCTATAAATTCGAATGAGGGAAATGGCCGGGACATAGAACAGCAATTTCATCAGAGGATTTCTCAGATGAGCATCACGAGCACAACATCTTCTGCCACCCTTGATCACCCTTGTCCCCATCTGATATAAGCTCCATAAAGGCAAGACATGACATTTTCCCCAGCCAGACAGAGCAACAAGCCCATGTGACAAACCTCAGCAGGCTGTCAAAGAAACCAGGTGCTTCCTTCGATAGGGTTTTCCTGCATCTCATCCATGGCACCCTCACAAAGGTCCAGAGCATACCATCTCCCAGTGCAGGAGGAAAGTGCCACAATGAGAAGCTACCTGGAAATGTCAGACACATGGCCTGGAAGACGAGGAGGCAGATTTCGATTGCTGGGGACTGAACACCAACTCCATGCTCCACTGACTGTTCACGAAACCTCATTGTGGCTGTCCAATATCAGGTGCTCAAGAAGGGATGTTTTCTACCTCTGGAAGGCTGGGCAAGTAAATGAATTAGCTTAGTTCTTCTAGTATTTTATTCTCTTTGAGAACTGTGTAAGGCCCAGTGATTAGAAGCCCTAGTCTATGATGGACAGGGAAAGGCTCACGAAGTCCCACTCTTTTGTGAGAAGTTACTGGCAACTGATAACTGCTGGGAAGGAAGAGTCAGTCCTCTTCAGCGATTTGGCCCTTGAAAGGAGACTTGTGTTTGGGTAGATGAGCCTATCCCTGTGTAGTCGCAGGTAGCACTAAGTCGACTCAGGGTTTTCCTTTTAAGAGAGAAAGATTGTGAAGGGGGGGAAGTGGGGGTGGTGAAGGGTAGGGAATGGAGAGTAGATTAGATCAAACACTTGACTATGGATGGGTATAGTAACACACGCCTTTAATTCCCAACACTAAGGGGGTAAAGGCAGGCAGATCTGTATGAGTTCACGGCCAGCCTGGTCTACATAGCATGTTCGAGGCCAGCCAGAGCTACATAGTGAGACCCTGTCTCAAAATTAAAAACAAAAACAAAAAACATATTATAAGTGTATATGAAATCCTCAATAAAAAAGACAAGCTATGGTTGTGGAGTCATTAGACTAGAACAGAGGTTGATGTATGGCCAGGGCAGCACAGCTAGACCCTTGGCTCAGCCTCTCCTATTCTGTCTCTCTACCTATAAAACAGGACTGGTAACACCCACCCTCTGAGGTCTGGAATATTAAGTGAGACAGCACATGCAAATGCCGGCTCTTCTTCTCTTACATATCCTAAGCCCCATAAGTCAGCTTCCTTCTCAGCCAATAGTCTCCTGTCTCCAGAAAATGCCCCTCAGCTGTGTCTTGAGATAATATGTCTGAGACATCTCACAGAAATCAATAATTTCACACTATTTATAAACTGATTCTCCCCAGGAGCAGGCTGCAAACCAGACTGCTGTCAGGTGAACTTCCTAACAGCCCTATCCTGTTCAGCTTCTATACACCCTCTCACACCCATCTCAGGTTCTCCCACTCACGGTCCTAGCCCAGGTGCACCAACTCTGGCACAAATTCACCCAATCTTGTGAGAGGCTTTTTCCACTCAAGCCAGTCCAATTGAGTTACCCATCATCCTGACCATCTCAGGGAAAACAACTTGGAAAACCCTTTTAACAAACACTTGCCCTACTGATTAAACCTCATGATACAAGAGTAACCTCAGCTGAGCTATTTTTTTTTTAATTTAAACCTCTCTTCTTTCACAGAGCCTCATGCTCTTGTCCCGAGGCATGTCTACATAGTCCTGCCCTCTCCCACCTGTTTCCCGATGTCACTGTTCAGTTCCTTCCAGACAGACTTGCCCACCCACTCTTCCCTTTCAGGAGCCCCATGCAGGTCTACTCCAGTCAGGAAGTCTCCTATTCCACTGAGCCTTCCTGGGTCCATGACAGGAAGCTTCCCAGCTGCTTCATCGTCACTTCTCAGACAGCCACAGTCACGTTTAGAGACAGTGCCTGGTACAATATTTGTTCACATGCCAGCTTTCAGGATATAAAATAACCATGTGTGAGGAACCCTCTTTTATTCTCTTTTTTTCCTTTTATTGAAAATAGATTCTGTCCTCATACAATATATCCCGATTACAATGTCCCCTCCCTCTACTCCTCCTAGCTCCTCCTCCCCTCCCCTCCCCTCTGGATCCACCCCCTTTCTGTCTTTCAACAGAAAAGAACAGGTTTCTCAGACACGACAAAATAAAATATAATGGGATAAAATGAAAACTGTCACATTGAGGCTGGGCAAGGCAGCCCAACAGAAGGGAAAGAGCCCAAAGTGCAGCTCAAAATCAGAGAGATCCTCTTCTTAAAATTCTTCTCAAAATATTTAGCACCAGGAATAAAACATAGTTGCATAGCATAGCATAGCTTAGGCTCAGGACCGTCATAGATCCTCCCAATCTACTTCCTACTCTGGTCACTCTATGATCAAGAAAAAGGTGCTTTTGTGCTCCCTGCAGACATGTAGGCTTGAACAGCTCTGAAGACGGTGACCAGGACAAAGCCAGAGTCTGCAGAGCAGAGTGGTTGTGATCACGACATTGGTAAGGGGACCTAATTTGACTGCTCTCTCTAGTGAGATACTTGACCTCTATGAGCCTCAGTTTCCCTAGCTGCAGAGTAAGACTCTTGGTAATACATGCTCCGGGGGTTTTTCATGAGAAAGAGATGAAATATTACATGGATAAACACTGAGAATGGTAGCTGGCCCCCGTGGGCCTTCAGAAATCAGTAGCTTTTACTGTTATTATCTTATCTTACTATCTCAAAGATGAGATCACTGAATGAAGCATTAAATTGCCCAGAGGTTTACCATTACAATCCCACCAAGCCCAGAGCCAGAATCCTCCTCACTGAGGCTCGACTCCATTATTCTTCCCCTTTGCTTTTAGAGTCACTAGAAGTTCAAGGAAGCCCGGCTTTCTGCCTTGCCCTACTGTTTCATCCTGCTCAGTCTTCCCAGTTAGATATAGCACAGCAAAATGTCTCTTAGCCAGAAAGGTTTCCTTGATGTTCTTTGACCCTATCTTTTAGAATAAAACTTGTCAGGGCATTTATTGCACAAGGGACTGAACAAACAAATAGTAATTCAAAACTGAGTTTAAAGGACAGACAAGGGAAGTGTAACCTTTCCTGGCAACCTTTTGCCACACAACTCTGCCCTTGTTTACAGTAATTCAGAAAAAGAAGATCTGGATTCCTGCAAACTGAATTGTCACATGGAACCTGTCATTGCTTTTTCTTTCAAGGATATGGAGTGACCTGCACCTTCCTATTTTTTACTGTCTTCTACATGTATGGGGGGGGGGAGTTCCCTCCAAGTTATAACACAGTAAGAGAAATAATGGAATCAAAGATTTATAGAGGAGAAAAGTGATGTCCATAATGTTCAGGCTGTCACCTGCTGGCATGCTAGGTTCTACATCCATCTTGTAGAAGACAAGAAAAGCAATAGTTGGGTGTTTCTTACCAGCTGATGCTTAGTTGCAAATTTCATTATGTTTTCCACATACAGACAATACTGACTGAGTATCAGTTATACACCAGGTTTTGTTTTGTTTTTCTGGTTTTAGGTTTTTTTATTTTTAGCATGGAAACTGCGATGTTGCATCTACCATGAACACAGCTTCTGCCTTTGTGGAGATCAAATCCTGGTAGTTACAGGCAAAACTTAACCACATAATCACAAAAATGGAAGTAAAATTGCAACTGTGACGAGGCATACACAGTCCTGTATTTATTCTGAGTATGTCATTCTCATGAGAGCCATCAAGACCCCTCTGAAGGGTCAAACCTCCACGGAGATCCCAGGAGCTACAGGCAAAAGGATGGAAGACCTGGGGAGCACTGCATGAAGACAGGAATCTGCCTCTGGCAAGAGAGTGGAAAGAACCTATGAGAGATGGAAGAGGGGCAGTGGAGGGAGGAGAGGGAGCAAGGGCACAAGAAATATGTTCCAGATAAAACCAGAGAGGCTAGGACTGGCCAGGCAACCTGGGGCTTTCTAAAACGCATAGAGATTGGTCTTATCCCAAGCAATGGAACACCATTGAAAGCTCTAAGGGGTAGAAGGGCTCGGAAGGGAGTGTCAGAAACAGAGATTCTCATTTCAAATGCATCCCATTGGGTGTGCAATCAGCTCAAAGGGTGGATGCAAACCAAACTTCAGGAGCCTTTTTTTGAAGTCCAAGAAGGAGGCTTATGTTCTGGTGGAGGGGATAGGTCAGGAAAGGCAGAGAGAAGGTAGTTTTAAGAGGGAACTTAGAGAGTTAGGCAGCCACATAAGGTAAAGAAATGAGAGTAGAGAGACTTGTCACTTTGGCCTAAGGTCATCACTCAGAGCTGACCATGACTTCTTTATTCTCTTTACCTCAGTCCTTCTTCCATTTTCCAGTCCAACTATTGGGCTATTAGAGTGAGTCCCACAGAAACAAACTTTACATCCAAGGAACTCTGGAGTGTGATGGTCAGTGCTGACAACAAGACATGGCTCAATTGTTCACTTTCAGTATATTGCAAAAATTCAGTATATTGTCATCCACAGGTGCCTGGGCTTGTGGGTTTACAAATGGTATCAACTCAAATAACCTTCAAACTTTACAGTATCTTCACTGATTGTGGACTGGGATATGCATCAATGATACAGGTACAAGTGAACCCATAAGAAAAGGGCAGAACTGGGGCTAGGGATGTAGGTCAATTGGTAGAGTGCCTGCCTAGCATGAAGCAAGTTTAAGGCCAGCTTGAGTCCAACACCCTGTCACAGAAAAATAAATGAAGAAAATAGGTCAGAGCTGATTTTTTTCCATCTCTAAAACCCAGTCTTAAAAAGCCATAACCCACAGGAAAAACAATAGATTCCTAATCAGATGTGAAACGAAGGCATCCAAAATATTAAAAATTATAAATATTTAAATGTGCATTTATAATCATGAATATAATATATATATAATTTAATAAGTGTGAATTTGTATTAACAATATGCCATTACAAGCTAATAGATGTTAAAATCCTCTCATACTTGGACAGATATTGCAAATGTTGTTATTCAAAAGTGTTTAACCAGGTATTGGGGGAGAGAGAAATCTGCGGGCCATTGCTGCAGGGCCAGCCTTGCGGGGGAAACAGTGGTGCTGACACACCTGTGTGTGCTGATTATGGAGAAACGTGCCTTCGGTATCCGGCAGGGGGCTGGCATTTTGCTCCCTGTCTCCATCGCTTTCTCCTGTGCTCATCAGAGCCTCTTTCTCAGCAATCTCTTCCTTCTGGAGGATTTTCCTCATGAAGTCCCCTTTGTCCATCGGGGTTCGGATGATTTTCAGGTTGTTTGTGTAGATAATTATCTTCCCAAAGTCTATAATAGGTGGAGGCTAGAGAAACAGAGAGTGTCAACAGTCACCAAACTCAGGGTTTCAGAACCTGCCCCATGCCCATTCCAAGACACAGGAGAGGAGGGCTTTGCACCCATCCAAACTGTGCCTCACCCGACCCCAAAGCTTCCTCCCATGGTTCATTTATTCTTTCTAAAAGTAAGAAGAGTCACTTTCCTCCTTGCTGAGGATGGGAACCGAGGAAGGTTGAGCCACTCAGAGGGCGAGACTAGAAGTCAGGGTCTAGAGCATCTGTTCCCACTGTACCCCAGGACAGCCAGTGCAGAGCTGGGCACCTGAAAAGGGACTCTTCAGTCTCATGCAGATATTTCTCTGTTTGTCTATACATACATAAATAATATTAGCTCATATCACTTACCAAACACTATTTGTGTGTCAAGCATCATGCTAATATTTTACTGTCATCACTTCTCTACCAAACATCCCGTGAAGGATATGCTATATTTTTCACACTCTATGAGTGAGGACTAAGTCTCAAAGGGGTCAAGTCCCTCACTAAGGTTACCAAGTGACCTTGGAAATTGTGGCTAGGATTCAAACCTAATATTTTTTTTCTTAATTTTAGATTCATCTTTTTTACTTTATGTGTGTGAGTGTTTTGCTTACACAGAGCTATGTGCACCTCATACATGCTTGGTCCTTCAGAGAACAGATGAGGACATTGGATCCCCTAGAACTGAAGTTATGGATGGTTGTGAGCACCATGAAGGTGGTGGGAACTGAACTTGGTGCCTCTGCAAGAGCAGCAAGTGCTTTTAACCACTGAGCCAACTCTCCAGTCCCTAAAGCCCGTGTTATTTGTTTCCTTTCTTCCTTTCTCTTTTTCCTTCCTTTTACTTTAGACAAGGCACCTTGGCACCTGAAACTCACTATATAAATCAGGCTGGCCTCAAACTCATAGAGATCCACTTGCATCTGCTCTTAAGTGCTGAGATTAAAGGTATGTACCACTATACTTGTTTTCCAAACTCCCATATTCTTAACACCTATATGCACTACTCACAAGTATTCATTTCTCCCCAAATACGTCTCTATAAATCATATATATCAAATGTATATCAAATTACAAAAAATACACCATTAAATATACCCTGTAATAATCCATTTTGCTATTCAAATAATATGGAATATTTTATGTTAATATATTTCTAAGCAATTATTGTCAATAGCTAATGTCTGCTTTCTATGTGTTTACCATGTATTACCTAATGTTATGCTCATGGAAATAAAGGGCAATGCTATAATGCACTAAAGAAGCCAGACAGAGGACAGGGATGTAAGACTATATAGCTCAGTGGCAGACAGCTTACCTAGCACATGTGAGGCCTTGGGTTCAGAAAGTCCAGAACATAGAGGAGGAAAGAGAAGGTGAAGGGGGTGGGGGGGGAGAGGAGGAGCAGGAGAGTAACTGATCAGGTACCTCTTGACCAAGAACACACAGTTCTGCCCAGTTACACAGCTAGGAGGGAAACAGCCTTGGATTCCAGATCTGATGTCTGTTAGTTACAAGATGCAGTGCAGTCATGTCCTCTGATAGTCCATTTTGGTCATCTACATGTGTCTTGACATCCAGCTGGTAGGCACTCCCACAGATAAGCTAGTTCCTTAAACATAAAAGTACTTCCACACTGGTAGTACACATATGTGCTGAAATTCCTGGGTTCTGTCACTTATTATCCAGTCTCCCTACCGGGAGCTTCCAACATTGTCAAGCTCAATAATACAAGGGTTAATGCTAGCTGGGCATGGTAGCACATGCCTTTAATCCCAGCACTCTGGAGACAGGGGTGGGTTGATATCTGTGAGTTTGAGACCAGCCTGGTCTACAGAGCCAGTTCCAGGACAGCCAAGGCTACACAGAGAAACCTTCTCTCAAACCATCCCCCACCCCAAAGGGTTAATACATCAGACACCAAACTCCAGGGCCCTTCCCCCTTCCCCAATTCTGGTTACATATTTTTGCATGAGTTCTTTTTTTTTGTTTTGTTTTTGTTTTTGTTTTTGTTTTTCGAGACAGGGTTTCTCTGTGTAGCTTTGGAACCTATCCTGGCTTCTATCTGGAGACCAGGCTGGCCTCGAAATCACAGAGACCCACTTGCCTCTGCCTCCCAAGTGCTGGGATTAAAGGCATGCGCCACCAACGCCCGGCCCTGGTTACATATTTTTACTCTAGTATCTAAGGATGATATCTCCTTCTGAGGATGGAAGATAATGTAAAAGATACAGAAACGTGGGGGTTGCAAAAGCTGTTGATAATATGCAAGTGTGGGTGTCATCACTGCTGTTATTAAAAACTGTTTTTCAATAGTGTATGCACACTCATGCTGTACAGCCAAACACCCCAGCATGGAATATTTTTCCTGAATCTAGCATTGTAAAAACCCAGTCTACTTAGATGATGCCACAGTTAAACACTCTCATATTTAGGTATTCAGTTGGAATCTGGCATGAACAAGATGTCAACAGACTCCAATAAACAGCCATGGGGGTTCCATGATTATTTAAGCAGCAGACTTCCTGTCTGGGCTTCTTCTCCCTCTTCAAGAGATCCTGTAGCAGATTCCATTTCCTATTGTTTTATGCACACTGGATTCCCATTTCACACTCTGGACTATCAGTTTCTGACATCAGGAGATAAGGATGGTGGTACTTTTGGAAGGTTCTGTTTCTATTTCCTGTAATAGCCAACAGGTTCAGTTACGAGGAAGTTTCTGTACATCTAGGGTTTTCTTTCCATTTCTTCTCTTAAAGACTAAACTGTCAGCATACCCACAGAATGGGTGATCACCTGCTTCAACTCTCTGCCCTCCACCATTCAACATCTAAGATAGCAAATACTTTTACTCCAAAAATGAAGAGTTCCAATCACTCTGGATGCACATTTAATTTCAGTCCTCTTGCCAGCCAGATTCTCCTGAGTCTGAGCTAACTCCCCATGTGCAACGATAGTTTACTAGGTCTGGTTACATCCAGCTGCCTGTGAGGAAAATCCACTCTTGTAGTATAGAGAGTCAGATGAAGTCAAGAATCTCTTAGCTTCTCACATGCAGTCTAGAATGGCAGATTATGTGGGAAAGTATCTGTGCATATTCTGGTTTCTGTAGCCACATGCCTAGAAACAGTTATCAAGACATGAATAAATGCAGAGAAGCCTTGCTAGGTACTAGAACTTCAATGGGCTTTAGAGTCAGGGAACCCCAATTCAAATTTTATTCAAATGTTGTTTGACCACTATGTTAGATGGTCAGGTTATTTTAACCTGTAAACCCTGTAAACATCTGTTTTCCCAATTTGAAAATTTCTTTCTCATTAAAATATTGTAAGTATGACATCATTTAATACATTTAAATTGGGTTTTCAGCAAATGTTACCTCCCTTTCTTTCCCTGTCCATAGTAATTTCATGAACCCTACACATTTCGGTGATTTTTGATTCCTCAACGTATTTTCATTATCTATCACCACCTTTTCTACCCATCACAAAAAATAAAAAATAGACTCAATTTTTCCGTAAGAACTAAACACATGTAGGGTGCCAGGCACTTTGCAGGAATTATCTATTTTAATCATCTTAATGGCCCTCCTAAGAAGGTACTTCTGTTGTTCTCAGGCCAAGATGATGACATTGGGGCTCAACAAAGTGAGTTTGTCCAAACTCACATGGAAGTGGGTAGTACTGGACTTTAACAAGCATCAGAGCCCATATTTTGTTTTTATTATTACAATTAGAGTAAAGTACACATAAATACAATTTCCTATTTTAACCATTTATAAATGTAGAATTCCCTAGTATTCACACTGTTGTACAACATTTATCTCCAGAACTTTATCTTCCCAAAACTGAAATGCTGAGTCCATAAACAGTAACATCTTCTTCTCTACCCCTAGCCTGACAACCACCATTTACTTTTTGTCTCCATTTATTTGTACCATAAGAACATCATATAGCTGCGATGGTACAGGTTTGGCTGATTGTGCATGGCTTATTTCAGTTAGCCTGATGTGCTCAAGTTTTGTCCATGTTGAAGCAAATCAAAATGTCGTAAGGTGTTATAATATTCCATTATGTGTATGTACCACTTCTTGTGTGGCCATTCATCAACTGATGAACATTTGTTTCTGCCTTTAATTGCTTGTGAATTTCTGTGAATAGTGGTGTACAAATATCTGTTTGAGTTCCTAACGCTTAGGTGAATCACTGCACTTAACCACAACCCATCATGCTATCATAGGCAGCATTTATGAGGGGTTAATTTATAGCTCCATCTGCTGTTGGGAAGTCAGGAAGCTCCAGCTTTTGTTTCCTTGTTTTTCGTGAATACCACTCTGAACTGTTTCTGTAGGTGGACTGCACATGTCCATCATGGTCCCTGTCACACTCAGAGCTTGATGACAGTGGGATGTGGCCATTAGTAGAACAACAGAGAAAACAAGGTATCCAACTTTCAACATGGCCTCTGATATGCCTGTGTTTTAATCTGTTTTTGTAAGTCTATGTCAAAACATTCTTACATGTGCCGAAGTTGGCATATGAGTTATGAAGCAGCTTAAATTATCTATCATGGCTTGTGTGAACTATACCTATATTAAATCTCAACTTCCAAATAAGACACAGTTACAAAGGACTTTGTAAGCACAAAATGTAGCTAAGTACCTAGGACACAAATAAATAGCAAATATCACAAACATCATCATGTCATCATACCATGTATGGTAATGGATGGTGTTTGTTAAAAAGGAACATGCCAAAAAGATTAAAGTATGGAAATCCAGGGGATCCAGGTTCCTATTCTGACTCAGCACCTTAGGCCCTATAATGATGTGTAGCCTTTAATCAACTTGGCACATAATTTTCCTCCTTCACAAAATAGAAATGACATACTTTGCCTTTTTCCTTGAGAAAGAACATGAGGGACACAGAAGACAATCCATGACAGCACTTTAGAATGCATAAAACATTACACTAACATAAGGGATTTTCATTCTCAACCCTTTATACAAAAATGATAAATGCAAATATGACAATTTTGCCAATATCACCAAATCTAAAATATTTGCCTGCAATACCTATTTTCTTAGAAAATGAACAATAAAAGTGATTAAAAAATAATTGTCTGAAAAAAACACCTCCAAGATGAGGACATAACATGGAATAGTTACCATTACTAACTTGGATGCATTACATATGTGTACTCTTTAAGAGAAACAGCATTCATTCTTCCACTGCCATGATCACAAACCCATCTCCCAAGATTCTGGAAATCATTGAGTTATTTCCCATGTTGTTTTAGCTTAAAACAGACTCCTGCAGGGGCTTCTGATTATCCACTCTACCAGAGACGCTAAGGAAACCCGAAGGAAGAGCTTCTGTCATGGAACTATTAGTTCAAACTTCTTCGCCAAGAAACACTTCCTTTGTTTGATTTACTTTTCACCATTTCTTCCCAGGATTCCAGCTACCCAGCGTTCACATTAATGAGCGCTGGGAAGGCAAAACTAAATAAATAGACCAACAATTTTAAAAAGCAGGCAGTAGGAAGGTGATAAGGAGAAAAAAAACAAGACACGGATAAAATACAGCAGAGTAATTGGCTGGAGCAAAACGGGTGCCTTCAAATATTCAATTCTTTCAGGAAAGGAAATGACCTACTGCTACATAACTCTCTAAAACGACAGGCTGGCAACCTGAAAACCACTGCACCTCTATTTAATTTACACACAGAGGAAACTCAGCCAAAGACCCAATTACAGTGTATTACCCTGGATGGAATTTGAACGCTGCATGTGCTCGTCACACTTTCCAATGAGTAGTCAACCCGCGTGTTATTTTTGTCCGAGAAATATTATTCAATAACAGCTCCCATTTGATGCACCTACAGCTCTGGCCCGTAGCTGAACTTGAGCGAGAGGCGTATCTGAAGAAGCACTTTGGCATTTTGCTAGGCATATTTCAAGGAGCCTACCCTAAAAGCCCGTAACCTTACTCAATACCAACCTTATGGTCGTTTGCCTTGTAGTCATTGAACAGAGAATGGCTGCCTGCCAGAGTGTAGGCACTGCTGTCTCGGAACACACTGATCCTCTGAGCAGTCAGTTTAGGGGAGTACAGCTGGGGCTTGGGGGCTTCTCCTGACCCATAAACACCATCCATTGGTTCAAGGGCCTCCTGCAGAAAACTGTGAGGGTATTCCTCTTTGGGTGACTCTAATTCCTGCCCATCCTCAAAGACCTGCTTCAACACTCGGCCGCTGTAGGAAGAGGAGATTTTGAAGCGTACTTTCCTGGGTTTGTCGTCGCTCTTCTGATTCAGTTTCTTGTCGGGGTCCTCCATGAGCAGAAAGCTCTCACTGCAGTTTCCAGGCTTCCAAGTAGGCAGTGGAACCAAGTAGGCAGCTCTGAGAAAGGGGCATTTTATTTTCTCTCCTCCTGCATATGATTAATTCAAGTTGGTTCTGGAGGACGCTCAATTACAGCAACTGACACCCACACATTAATTATTGATAGACCTCATGAAAAGGCAGGTGATCATGGCTACATGGAGGGGATGGAACACAGAACAAAACTGGTCCTCTTCCTAGTCTTAAGCATACCCCCTAACTTCACCCAAACTCTGGCTTTTCTTACTCTGGGAATGAACACATTTATTACAGCGATCAAGTACCAACTCTACAAAGATCAGACACTTGGCCAGTTAGCAATTACCTTGTTATCATTACCAAAACCAACTATAATCTAGTGAGGAGGTTCAAATACAAGTCCATGTGACTCTCCAACATTGTCTGGCCCCCAATTTTTCAAACAGTGTCTTATGAGGCTCTACAAAGCAGTTTCTTGGGGGTTTCTTCTTAGAGTAGGAAGAATGAGGGGACCTAGAAGTCAAGTAACTGACTCACTGGTTAAGAGCACTGGCAGTTCGTCCAGAGAAGCTGGGTTTGGCTCCCAGCACCCAGGCAATGACTGACAACCATCTGTAAATACATCATTCTGACACTCTCTTCTGGCCTCCACAGGCAGCCGATACACATGTGCCACACAGGTACATGTGCAGGCAAAGCACTCAAACCCATAAGACAAAAAAATAAGTAAGTAAATAAGTCTCCATTTGTAATTATTACACTAACCCCTACAGCCTAGTGGACTTAGCAAATCCCCATCTCTGAGATAGAGAATGAGATGAATATCAAAGAAACCTGAGATGTGGGTCCTGTGGACAGTCTGCCAATCCTCTATAGAAAACAGAATTAACACATGTGAAATGATAACCTCGGGCTTGGGAAGCAGTGTCCACTGATGAATCTGATGACTATTCTAGAAAGGGAATGTTCTCTAAAAAGACGAGAATACAAGGTTTGAGCAAGAAAGGGTCTCTGAGTTGAGTCTAAGGGGCCAGTTTGGACCAGAGGAGCTGAAATGATAGGATAAAATCTTTCTATCTTCTGTGCTAGTGACACAATGATGTATTTACTTGCCCAAGCTGAGCTTATATACTTCTCAACCACTTATATGGATGCTGTCACCAATAACTCCCTTTTGGGTAATTCAGTAACAACATTCTCCATTCCTTTTCTTCCTTCCAAAGACTCCCGTGTGTCCCTCCCCACTCTCCTTCAAATTCATGCTCTTTCTTTACTAATTGTTATTGTATGTGTATATATAAATATGCATTATATATTCCTAAATATAACTTGTTCAGTCCATATAATGCCACCTGTATGTATGCTCTCAGGGCTGACCATGTGGTACTGGACAACCAATTGGTATGCTCTTCCCTGAAGAAGACCTCCTCTCCTGTTCCCAGTTTTCCTCAGTTACCTATAGTTACTACTGTAGGGTTGAGACCTCATGGGCATTTCCTCATTCAGTTTGGTGTGTTCATTGGTGTCATCCTTGTTCAGATCACACTTGAGGGTGAGACTTTATGAGTGTAGTTTCTGGTACTACTAAGAGACACCATCTCACAGCAAATTCCCTGACCTCTGGCTCTGATAATTTTCCCATCACCTCTTCCTAATATTTTCTGAGCTTTAGGTACAGGGGTGTTTTGTATATGTATCCATTGGGACTGAGATCCCAAACAGCATTCTGTAGTGGTCTCTATCTGTTGCAAAGAGAAGTTTCCTTGATAAGGAATAAAGAGTGCATTATCTGTTGTGGGTATAAGAGCAGATGTTTATAGATTGTTGTTAAGGAATATGCTGGTTTAGTAAATTAATGGTTGTAGATTCTCCTCCAATCACCATGACTTCACTAGCTCTAAGTAGTTAGCTAGGTTCCTAGTATGGACATGGTGTTTCCCTCTTGTTGAACAGGTCTTAAGTTCGATTATAGAGCTGTTGGTTACCTCCAAGTTAGTCATGCCATTACTGCACCCTTAGAGTTATTGTGCCATGCTTGTTTTTGGAGTGGTTCACGGGCATCATAGATGGGTGAGACTGTATAGGTTGGTTGCCTCCTTCCTTCTGAAGCTTGCTTGGAACTTTCTGGCACCATGAAAGCTAGTCCTCAGGGAGGGTTCTTTCAAGTCAGTTCCAGGTCTGGGGTTCCTGGACCCTGTTTCTGAAATGCATGATATCTTCAGCAATAGGGACTTTCCTTCCACTTCCAGGTGTAACCAAGGACAACAGCAATTGGCTGTATATTTGGGGAGTCTGTTGGACAGTCCTGGCCAACAATTCAGAAGAGTGCTTCTCAAGTCTAGTGTTGGGTTTTTGTGAAGTGGTCATCTTACCATTCATTCCTAGGTGTTACCATTCTTTCCTAGAAACTCGCAGCTGCCTCCTTGTGTGTGTGTGTGTGTGTGTGTGTGTGTGTGTGTGTGTGCATGCTCTTCCTAGCATCAGAAGACATAGTCCTCTCACTGGGATGTAAAACTGGCTCAGATAGACGTACAACAACCAATTGCAGGAAACTGAGCTCTTGGTTTCTCATCCTCTAGAAAAGCTTGGTGGGGCCCAAGTCTACAGCAGTCTTGTTTGTATCTTCCAGATTACAGAAAGATGTTATTATTCTCCATATGCACCACATCCTGAAGAAGATTGGAGAGCCCTTCCTAGAGGACCACTTTCTTCTATCTGTATTTGTAAGTGACCGTAGCCTGTCTTCATCATGCTGATCCAGTGGGCTGATGTGTATAGCTACCTGTCACAACCGAGCATGCCCAAATACCCCACAATGAACACCATTAACAAAGGCAGACTTTCAGAAACATGGACTTCAACCAGATCCAAACCTGGAAATGAGTTTTCTGAGTCATATTTGTCCAGTGCTTCTTTTCATGCCCTTCCTTGGCTCATCTGCTTTCAGTGAGTCACAGCAAAGGTGTGGAGAGTTTGGAAATGAGCAAGCTTACCTGACAGCTTTTAGACGTTGCTGTTTTCAGAGTGGTCACAACTCATACACTCCCAGAAGAATAAACTGAAAACTTGAAAGCAATCTTGGCAGTATTATCGAAAACCTTAAAAATGTTCATACCCTTGAGTCTTACTAAGAAAGAAAATAACTGCCTTTATCAGAAGAAATCATGTCAAACTGCTAATATCAGTTGCTTCCGGGCAGAGGATGTGGAACACTTTTTTTCTCCCAGTTTTATTATATTTTACATGCCAATGATAAACTCACCTTACTGTGATAATCAGGCAGAAAATAAATTCTAAAAATCCATTCCTTTCAGCCCAATAATTTCTCCCGAGGAAATAATTTTCAAAGGAGGGAAATATTTATCTAGATAAAGATATTCTCCATAACATTACTTATACCCAGAATAAAAACTTAAATTTCCAACAGTAAGAATTCAACAATATAAAAGACCATGCAGTCATCTTGCAAAAGATTCACAAAAATTTTAAAATAATATGGGAATTGTTTTTGTTACAAATTTAGTAGGAAACTATAACTAAATTTTATGTTCAGTAATGTAGAATTTGCTATAGAAAGCTATAGGAAAGAAAAAAGTGGATACATAAAACATTAGTAGTTCTACATAAAAGGCAGATCAGCAATGGTCTTTTTCTCTCTTGGCACTTTACTGTATTTTTCTAAAATTTTTGTGATAAACAGTGGTAGCTTAATATTAGAAGTGCTTTACATTTTAAAAATATAGATGAATATATGCTCTTGGCTGAAGAAAACCCAATCCTCAGCAGTCAACATCCTGCCACTTTTCTTCTGCTTGAATTCAAGCTAGACAGAGAGCTCAACCCCCAATCATCCTAAACAGGGGTTCTGTTTGTGGTAACCTGGGAACAGAACACAAACAAGAGTAAGAACACCAAGTTTTAGAGATAGCTCAGTGGGTAAAATGCTCACTATGCAAGCATGAGAACCAGTTCTATTCCCAAAATCCACATTGGAAGCTCCAGGCATCATGGAACACATTGGAATTCCCAGCACTGGGGAGGTAGAGATGGGAAGATCTCTTGAGCTCTGTGTCTAGCCAACCTAATCTTCTTGGTAGGCTCGAGGCCAACGAGAGACTCTGTCTCAAAGAACAAAGTAGTTTGTGTCCTGAGGAATGACACCCAAAATTGGTCTCTGGCCAATGACACACGAGAGAGAGAGAGAGAGAGAGAGAGAGAGAGAGAGAGAGAGAGAGAGAGAGAGAGAGAGAATAAGCCCACCTGTGAGGTAGTCTAGAACAAAACCTTCATATGTGTCTATGTAAGCCTAGCTCTTGGCTTACAGGAATGACAGGGCATAGGAGAACCTATTGAATAACCCAAGAGAAAAGAGCACATAAAACAATGACACTCTTTGGGACACCTACAAAGCATTAGTTCCACACAAGGGTTTTTAGATGAGGAAAACATTAGAGGTAGAAAAACCACAGCTTCACAAAAAATAAATTGTTATAAATAAATGCAATATGTGAGCTTTGACTGTTTACTCAGGAAATCTGACTGTGGAGTTGCACCAGGTGCAACCACAGAATTATTGTGAATGTTCTTAGGCAAGATAATGTCATGTGATCATATGGGACAATGTCCTTTATGTAACAGATACTTGCTTAAATATTTAAGGTGATGTCCTGTGATGTCTGCAACTTAATATGGAAAAACTAGCCCTGTAATATATGTATGTGCATGTTTAAATATATTTGCATATAGGATGGAGAAATGTTGACATTTCCAGGTGGCTGATTATTAAACTATTGCATTAGAATTTTTCACTTGAAATTTTTCTAGTAATTTTTCTTTAAACAAAAAGAATTCAGAGCTATCTAGGTTTGCTTCTGTGCACTTTGATTTAGACCCAAATCCTTTTAGGAACAGTATCTTTATGCTGTCCTGTCTGGTGTCATTTACTGAGACTTGTTTTATGTGTATTTGGAGATTT